AATTGAATATTGTCTTTTTTTTTCAAGAGAAACTCAAACACTAATCGACATGAAAAAGATTTTTAAAAAAACAGTCGAACTCTACATCTGACAATACATTGATATATATAAATTATTTGATTGATTCAACTTGGCAGGAAATTTGAGAATTCTAATTATACACGTATCAGAATTTGATTACTCTAGTATTTTAATCCTTCATTTGCAATGTCATTTATTCAGAATGTCAAATATTATGGTATTGATTTTGTTATTATGAGCCGTGGAATATTGAGAATGTTTTATCGATTACATTGTAAATGATATCATTATAAAAAATTAGGTTTTATATATGAAGACCTTGTTATTGCAATTATGAAGCAATTAGAAATCAAGAATACTTGTAAAAGTATACAAAACAAATACACCATGGAAGATAATTCTAGAATTAAGAAAGAAATGTAATGATATGATCATGACATTGTACGTTAAGTAGAAGAAACAAAATATGTACTTATGTATCCTAATTCGTTTATTAGAATGCACAAGTTCCCTCAAAATGAGTTCATGTATATATTTTATATTGCTAATAGTATTTATTTGAAGTTTCAATTACTGTAGATTCATCGTAATTATATATGACATACATCCAAAATCAACACAGAAGAAAACATTTTTCAATGGGTATATTATGACGGTGAAGGTAAAAAATTCCAATATATACCACTAAAAATGAAAAGTAATACACAAATATATAGGGTGTGTTTGGTATGAAGGAAAACATTTTCCGGAAAATGTTTTCCTTCATACCAAACACACCCTATATATTTGTGTATTACTTTTCATTTTTAGTGGTATATATTGGAATTTTTTACCTTCACCGTCATAATATACCCATTGAAAAATGTTTTCTTCTGTGTTGATTTTGGATGTATGTCATATATAATTACGATGAATCTACAGTAATTGAAACTTCAAATAAATACTATTAGCAATATAAAATATATACATGAACTCATTTTGAGGGAACTTGTGCATTCTAATAAACGAATTAGGATACATAAGTACATATTTTGTTTCTTCTACTTAACGTACAATGTCATGATCATATCATTACATTTCTTTCTTAATTCTAGAATTATCTTCCATGGTGTATTTGTTTTGTATACTTTTACAAGTATTCTTGATTTCTAATTGCTTCATAATTGCAATAACAAGGTCTTCATATATAAAACCTAATTTTTTATAATGATATCATTTACAATGTAATCGATAAAACATTCTCAATATTCCACGGCTCATAATAACAAAATCAATACCATAATATTTGACATTCTGAATAAATGACATTGCAAATGAAGGATTAAAATACTAGAGTAATCAAATTCTGATACGTGTATAATTAGAATTCTCAAATTTCCTGCCAAGTTGAATCAATCAAATAATTTATATATATCAATGTATTGTCAGATGTAGAGTTCGACTGTTTTTTTAAAAATCTTTTTCATGTCGATTAGTGTTTGAGTTTCTCTTGAAAAAAAAAAGACAATATTCAATTGCATGTTCTATTTTGAATTGAAGATACACACGAGCCTGATTATGGGGATTGCATGATTTTCTCTCATGTTTTACGAGTTTTGTATTTTAAAAGAATTTATCAAAAAATTTAAATTTTTCACTCCTTTGTATCACAAATATAATCACGTCACGAACTGATACATCATAAGTCATTTTTTTTTAAATCTTATCATATGGCAATTATCTAAATATAACTGCATACGATAAATATACTTCTAAACATTATTGTCTATGGAATATTTTCGTTCTAGTTCATAAAATTTTAAACGGATTGAGACAAAGAATAATATTTGAACTACGTGACACCAAAGTATACATTACATTGAAAATGAAAAAAAGACCCGAAAACCGCACAGCATGGAAAGAGAGCGAAGAAAAATGCGCGCGGCGAAGGAAGCAAACCATTCTTTATATTTATTACATTTTCTCTTCTCTTTCAAATCCCATTTTCTTCTACATAACTCGGTGAGAAAATTGCAGTTTACTCCACAAAAAATGAAGCATTAATCAGTGAATTTTTGATATTTTTTTGAGTAAAAATGGGTGATTTAGAGATTCGCTTGAAGGGTTTGATTCAATCGGAGTCAAAATCAAATGGGGTTCGGTGTTTGAGTTTGAGAAGTAGTGATTTGTGTCTGAATTCGATTGGTTTTGATGGAAACAATGGAGGATTACTCCTCGAGGATTCGGCCAGAGAATCCTTCGTTTCGTTAATTTCTATGGAAAATTGTTTTCCTTCCAAGTGTATGTTACGTGCACGGAGGAGTAGCCGGAGAGGAAGGGGACGGTTTTTGTCGGTGACACTTTCAGATTCTAATGAGATTTTGGGGCAGAATGGGGAAGCTGCTGTGGCGGAGAGTGAAGTTAAAGTGTGTAAGGAAGTTGAAAAAGTAAAGAAAGGGAAGCTGCATGGTGGAGCTGGAGCTGGAGGTGCATTGAATACTACTAAGCATCTTTGGTCTGGAGCTGTTGCTGCCATGGTGTCAAGGTAAAGAGGAATGTTCTTTTTCATTCTTATGCATTCCATAAAATCTTACTCCCCTATGTTTCGATTTGCTTGAATTAGTTTGATTCGGCACAAATAACTAACGAAGTGTGTAATATACCAAAATGTCATTTGAATCTTGTATTGTTAAATATGATATATAGGAATATGATGTTGGGTAAAGAGTTATTAAATATTGAAGTGACATTCTTTTCCTAAGTAGATTTAAAAGGAAACCGGTCAAACAAATTGCAACAAAGGGGTAGTATTGTTGTTGTCCTTAGGGTTATGGCAAAGGAGACATCGTGCTGGATGTACAGTATGCCCACATTCACTGGGTTAGAATCCTCGCTGGTGAACCAAGTATGGTATGTCAGTGCAGAAGGGTAGAGGCGCATGGAGTGCAAGCCCTTTATCAATTGAATTTCGAAACTGGAAATAGTGGATTTCCTCAAAAAACTGTTGCTCTTGTTTGTCAATGGAACAATTTTAAATGTTTTTTTGTGGTAATGTACAGTTTCAAGGCACAAAAAAAGCTAGTATCAACTAATCAACCAACTAGACCTCAATCCCAAATTCATTGGGGGTCAGCCTTTTGCATCCTCTACGTCCATTCTCCTCTATACAGAGAAATGTATCTTTAAGTATTCATAGAATTGTGTGCCTTAAGATCCCGTCTTTCTTGATTCAAAATCAGGACGAAAGGTCGAATGCTTAGGAGTTTGGACCAATAGGTTCAACTTGCTTTGGTTTAGTGATGACGATTTTGTGTCATTTGAGTTGGAATGACGGATAGCTACTCCCTCTGTTTCAATTTGGTTGTCTTAATTTCCTTTTTAGTTTGCTAAAAAAAATTCTCGTTCCTAATTTGGAAACTTTTTAATTTCAACATGCCACATGGCATGTTTAAGACTAGAAAATTAAAGACATTTTTGTACATTATACATATGTTTAATACCACAAGTTTCAAAAGTCTTCTTACTTTCTTAAAACTCAATGCCAAGTCAAACTAAGACAAACACATTAAAACAGAGTGAGTAATATTTATACCATGGGATCTACATCAAATCAGAGACATTTTGGGACCATAAAGCACCAGTAGATAGTAGTTGGTACTGGAGGAAAATAAACTCTCTGAAGCATAAAATGAAGCACTGGAATATGCAAGGAAAATTCAACCTTACTGTGAATGGGCAATACTCCATTACAAGTGGTTATATTGATCTGATAGGGAACCAAGCAAAGCTGGAGGTAGTGGAATTAGTGTGGAACTCTGTATCACTACCAAGACAGGTTTATTATGTGGCTAGCAATGCAAAATAAATTGCTTACAAAGGACAGACTGTTGAGTATGAACATTCAGGTAGATGACATGAAATGTTGCTTGTGTCAAGCTGCAGTGTTAGAGACAAACAGTCACTTGTTTGTGGAATGTGAGTATGCTGTCAAAGTGAGAGATGCATTAGTACAATGGTCAAAAATTTCAGTACCGGCAAGAGATTTGAAGACTACACTGGAGCTGATCAAATTGAAACATTGGAGGAGGTTTAAAAAACAAGTGATAGCTGCTATTTTGGGAGCAATGGTATATCACATATGGAAAGCAAGAAGTTGGAAACAGTTTAAGAAAGTGTATACAACATACAGAGATAGTGAGTATAATCATTCGTGAAATTGTGGAGAGGATAGAGATGTATAAGTATACAAAGAAAGCAAATAGATGTAGAAGTTTTTGGCAAAAGTTATGTAATTAGTTTGTTATTTTGTCGAAGCCAGCCTTCACTACTCCTTCATTAGTAAGGGTGGTGAGGGTTGGATGAGACTATTCTGTATGTGGTGTTTTTGTTAATGGTAATATTCACATTGGTTGCCAAAAAAAAATATTTATACCATGAAATACACACTCAGTAGTTTGCTCTATATTATTGGGATATCAAGGCACTTGATTTAAGATGAAAAAAGTATAGATGTAAGATTCTGAAATTTTGAAGTTGTTCAACATGGTTGAGGAATGTTTATGCATAGGTATGAAATACTAGTTGAATGTTTTCTTTGCTGGGTAATACATTTGGTATGAGAGGCAATGTTACCTCGTGTAGGAGCATTAACTAGTAGTAAACAATAGCAGTGTGAGAAGTGGCAAACAAAAATTGATTTGATAATGGGCTAACCCTTCGCTATACATGAATATGTGGGACCCTTTTCCATGGTTAATACTGGTGGCTTCTCCAGTGTCGTGTCTATTTTGCATCAAGAAAAGGATACTTATTCTCTCTTATAGTTTGACTCTTTTTTTCTTTTTCTTTTTTTCCTTTGAGGAAATCATTTTGTTGTATGTCAATGGTTCATACAGAAAGTAAGAAATCTAACCTGCTTAGAAGCACCAAGTACCCCAGATTAGGAAGGTTTAAATTAAAAGTATCATCTGTTATTAGTCTATTATGGAGAATAAGATTATCACCTATTTCTAAGTAGAATTTAACCACAGAAGTTGAAATCGAGGTCTGCATCTTCCAATTCTAGTTAGGCATGGTTGTTCTACCCCGTTGTTGAAAAGGGATCTTTACATGTCCATGCCTGATCCAGAACAATTTTTATGTATTTTGGGATGAGAATATCTTTTACACATCAAATGCTGCTCGTGAGTTCTGGGTTGTTCCACTGACTAATACAATATAAAAATCCTAGTATTTCTTATGTTGGAACTTTGTTACTCTTGTAGCATTGAAATGGAACCGTATATGTGGTCTGCAATTTCTTTGTTCTTCATTTATTTTATGGCCTTAGTCTATGTATTAGTAGCTGAACTGCCATTGTTTCAGAACTTTTGTTGCCCCACTGGAGAGACTAAAGCTGGAATATATAGTTCGTGGTGAACAAAAGAATCTTTTTGAGCTCATCAAAACAATTGCAGTTACTCAAGGGATCAAGGGATTTTGGAAGGGGAATTTTGTGAATATTCTACGAACAGCTCCATTTAAGGCTATCCACTTCTACTCTTATGAAAAATACAGAGATCATCTGCTCAAAATAACTGGTAATGAGGAGGCAACTAATATTGAAAGGTTTGTTGCTGGTGCAGCTGCAGGAATTACAGCTACTGTGCTCTGCATACCTATGGACACTGTGAGTGATAGATACTTCAGGGTTTTCTGTTTTGTTTTCTTGATCCCTTGCAGTAAGTATGTCAGTTCTTGTCTAAGTTGGTTACATATCTTTGTATGATAATGCTAGGAAAGGGAATGGACAGGTATAAGTGGAAGCTATCAAGTTGACACTACAGAGAAAACTTACTTCTGCTATCCTTGTTATATGTATGCCCCAGGGGTGCAACTAGCTCTTGGATAGCTTAGATTCAAGACTTTGGATGATTGTTCTACTACTTTTAAATGTATAAACCCTCTTTAATTTAGCATTAGTACTTCCAAGATAAACAACAGTATCGGGAATGCTTAGGTTGACACTTAATTTCTTCAAGCGGCACCATCTGCTTAGAATGAACCACGTATTGGTTTTGATTGTTAGCCTAGTCGACAATTTATGCTTGGAACTTACTTGAGCTTGTTGTTAACATAACGATCTTCTATTATTGTTGATATGATAGTAGTTTAAGCTGCTGAGACAAGGGATATTGGTTTCCTGCTCCACCAGCTGAGCTGTCCCAACCATTCTGAATTTGATGCACTGAATTAGTAAGACGAGTCATGTCTATCATATTAAAAGGGAAAACAAACTAGATTAAATGCTATTTTCCAAGCCCTGGAAAAGTTTGCTAGACATAGCTTATTATATGTGTGACTATGTTGAAATGAACCACGTATTGGTTTTGATTGTAGCCTATTCTTGAGTTGAAAATTGTCGATAATTTATGCTTGGAACTTACTTGAGCTTGTTGTTAACATAACGATCTTCTATTATTGTTGATATGATAGTAGTTTAAGCTGCTGAGACAAGGAATATTGGTTTCCTGTTCCACCAGCTGAGCTGTCCCAACTATTCTGAATTTGATGCACTCATTTAGTTAGACGAGTCATGTCTATGATATTAGAAGGGAAAAAAAACTAGATTAAATTCTATTTTCCAAGCCCAGGAAATTATTCTAGATAATTGACTTGGGATGACATTAGGAATAATTCAAGTTAGAAATATGATTTTGATGCTCACTGAAGCTTCAGATACATCATTGATTTGGATGAGATATGGTAAGTAATGAAGTTAGAAAATGTGATTAGAAGCTCTACCTAATTTCAATGCTATGCATGATTGGCTGAATCATTTTCTTATAATTATTTGTGTGAAGTGCAAAATATGGTTCAATTCCTGATAGAAATATTAAATCAATTGATTGAATTACTGTACAACATTCTTAAGGAATAGGATAATCCAGTCATTTCATTTTCTGTAAATGTTCTTCTACCTTTGTCTTTTTTTCAAGTCTGTAGTGTACTTTTTGTTTTTCTTACTGATTCGTGCAGTTTTTTGCTTTTCCTTTTCATACGTTGACAAAATATTTCAAGCTTTACCATTTTCTTAATGATCATAAAATGTTTCTCATCTTTCTTCCTGGAAAATGTCAATCTTTCAGATTAGGACAGTAATGGTTGCACCTGGGGGAGAAGCCTTGGGCGGCTTAATTGGTACATCCCGGCATATGATTCAGACGGAGGGATTTTTCTCTCTTTACAAGGGCCTAGTACCCTCGATCATGAGCATGGCACCTTCAGGTGCAGTTTTCTATGGAGTTTATGATATATTAAAATCAGCTTATTTGCATTCACCTGAAGGGAGGAAAAGACTAGAAAATATGAAACAAGGTGAAGACCTGAATGCCCTGGATCAACTGGAGTTGGGCACAGTTAGAACTTTGGTATATGGGGCAATTGCTGGTGCTTGTGCAGAAGCTGCTACATATCCTTTTGAAGTTGTGAGGAGACAGCTTCAATTGCAGGTCCGGGCCACTAAGATGAGTACATTGGCAACTACCCTAAAGATCGTTGAGCAAGGTGGTATCCCTGCACTCTATACTGGATTGACTCCCAGCTTATTACAGGTAAGTTAACGAAGCATTTTCTTGACTGTAGTTCCCTTCATACAGGAAAGGTATTTAGAACTCAGAACTGTCTCTCTGTAACAGCCCTTGAAGATTAGTTAATAAAGTACAACAATTTTTCTGTTGTGGAAAATGAGCATACACATCCTGTGATATGATGTATCCGAATTCATTGTACCGTTAACTAGGTAGGTAGATTTGTTAAAAGTTAGATCAATTTATCAAGCGACTACCATGCTAGTGTACATTCACTTTATTGGGATTTCAACAACTACGTCTGCTTGCAATACCTCAAGGTCTAATTGCATGATTGCCTGGTAACCAGTTGTTCTGGCTGTCAGGGCTCTCTTCCAGGAGGGAAGTTAGATATAAAGAATTGGAAATTGGAACTTGTATCACTTTAAATGTTAAATTTTTTTACCCGTGGGTTTGGTTTAGTGGTAAGAGCACAACGTGTGACTTGTGAGTTGGGCTATGTCACAAGTTCAAACCTTGCCACAGACAAAAGTCTAGTGTTTTAGTGGAGAATGGGAGAAGGGGTGATGGGGTGTTCGTTATCCAGAGTTTCGAACCTTGTGTCATTGGTTCATGAGGATTTCTTGATTATCAACAAAAAAAAACATTGAGCTATTATAAAATTGCCTTTAGATTCTAATGCCCGTTCTCTATTGTCTTTTGTATCAAATACTAGCTATATGTTGCTCGAACTCCAAAAATTTGGACGAACCCATGTCAAATCCTCTAAATGCACTATTTGGAGGATCTGACACACAGTGTATTTTTGAATAGTCTGAGAAACATAGAATACGTGTGTGCCTACTATCTGTCTGATTCTTTACATCTGGTAACACTGTGCATACAACTTTGCGGCCTAGCTTCTTTACCCTCTTTTATTGCACAAGCCTCTTTGTTCTGTTATTTGACTCACTAATAAGATATGGAACTCGATATTGACATGCCCTCTTTAAATTTGTATTCTTCAGGTTTTACCATCAGCTGCAATAAGCTATTTCATGTACGAATTTATGAAGATAATTTTGAAAGTGGAATAAACATGAGATTGGGATTCCTCAAGGTCATTCCTGGTGAGACATCCACGCGGACAGTGGTATGCAATTTTACCCATAAGGAGAATTTCTGGTCCTGTTTTACGATTGTCTGAACAAGGGTAGGTAATAATACATGTTATATAGGAGAAGTTGTAGAGAATGTTTCCTAGTTCTGGAGCTCTCCCTTTAGTCCAGAGCTTTTTCACCTTTCTTCATCAAAAATTGATACAAGATGAAATGTTTGTTGGCTTCAATTAGCTTGCTGATTAAAAGTATCTGTAGTCTGTACCAGTGTTATCAAAGATGCGCTTTAAGCGCGCTTAAGCCCTAAAGTGAGGCTCAAAACGTGTTGAGTGCTTCGCCTCGCTTTATGTGCGCTTCAGTGCCATCAAAGTTCCAAGACAAACTTTTCCTTGTCAATGAGCCTCTTATGAAGAAGTGACACTAAACAATTGATATTTCACTTTATCATTAAAAAATTCAATTTCTTTGGTCATATATTTGTCATTCATGTTTATAATTATTAGTTTTGGACTAAACATACGCATTTTATTTTTTTCTCCCTTTGCGCCTTTTTTCATTAAAGCCCACGCTTTATTTGCACTTTGCGCTTAAAGCCCCCACGGACCTTAGAGCTTTTTTGCGCTTTTCGCTTTTAATAACACTGGTCTGTACATGTTATGGAAAAGGTCTTCCTTTTTTTTCATTTTCTCTTTGATTTTTAACTGTCTTACTTTTGTTGCAAACACCACTTTTCACCCTTCTTCATGTGCACGCCCTAAATTGATACTTTCCAGCTGACAATTTATTATTATAGTTTTAGGGGGATGTATAAAAATAATGCTAAATAGTAATGTTTATATTAGTTATATGTTTGCATAAATTATACATAGATTACTTTTTATACATTGTTTGGTTTGGTGTATTAAAAATAGCATGCATTGTATAAAAATATTTATTTACAAATGCTAATGCATATGCATTATTGATACCTAGAAATTCATGGTATTAGTAATAAACTCCTCAATACACAATAGAGTGTGCATTAATTATACATAGCATGAAAAAATGTACCAAACAAGAAACTACTAATACACAAAGCTAATGCATGCATTATGCTAATACACGCTACCAGACGAGAATAACAACACTAATGGATGTACCTTGGAAGATGCAGAAGCAAGTCAAGAGATAGAATTCCCCGACTATTTGTACTGAAAATTATGATTGAATAACCATAGTGTCATTTTTTGTGAAATTCCAGGTGTTCCTATAAGCTTTTGCAGAAAGAAAAAGGAAAAACAAAAAGGCTCTTGAAACACTTTTTAACCAAAATAATCTTTGGGAGAACTAATGACACAAATTGACAAGTCCTTTAACAATGAACCTTTAAATTTCTTTGTCAATTGAAGGCAGAGAGAGAGGACCTGGTTTGAGATTCAAAAGGAAATAACATAAATGGTACAAAACTATCAATGTAAAAGGAAAAGAAAACATCAAACATACCACAATCTTACTACCTTTAAATCTCAAATTCTTGTCAATCTGCACAATGGATTTGATTTTCACATTTACAAACTAGTTAGTGCAGCCTATGTATACAACAACCCTAACAGCCATGTATAACAAATACTAATCCACAAATGGTATATTATTAACACAGAACTCAAGGTGCTGTAGGCATAAAAGTATCGTCATCCAATAGATCACCAAGATCGATCAAATCATCATTGAAATCAACTGCTTCCGCTGAGTTGTAGCTGGCTGCACCATCATTTGTACTCTGCAACACAAAATGAGACATGACCACATGTGAATTTGGTGTCTTGTTATGTTGTTCCTTTCAAAAATCCCCTCACATTTAAGAAACCAAGCCAGAGATACAACTACTAATAGCAAAACTTTACACTGAAAGAAACTTGGGGTATTGAATAAGTGTATCAAACTCACCCAGTGAAACGCCAATTCTACCAGGTAAACCCATGTGAAGGTTTGACAATGCTGGATGATAAATTAGAATTGGTTGATGGAAAATCATGAAACATCTACAAAACCATGACCCCATCAAGGGTATGACCATGCTCATCGTTTTAAGAAGCGAAACTTTAAAGCTTCTCTCTCATTCAAGGTGAGCAGATCATGAAAATCAGGACTAGTTGATTTAATATTGTTACTGAGTTTTGCTTATGATTGGATGCTAAGAGAAAAATCAGCAAAATACATTATTTATGAGGTATGAACGAAATTTTCACTTCTGCATCATGGACCAAATAGTTCAAAAGAAGAAAAGTGCAAATTTTCATTATTGCTGAAAAGCTCTAAAACTAACTTTTAAGAATAAAAGAAAAGCTGGGAAAGGGGAAAAAAGATAGTACATATATAGCTAGTCTCTTTATCAAAAGCGCCAAGTTATGATTTATTATTTTATTTTTGGAATAAGGAACCATTGCACCAAATGATAAAATGCATTTACAGGATCAACATATGTAGTTCATTTAGCATCAGAAATCGAACAACGCTTACATTGGGTTCTTGCATGTCGGACACAACATTCAGCAGCCTCCTATACTGGTCCCTAGCCTCGGGGTATTGAACCATCGACTTTACCCTTTCCAGAGCCTTCTGCAACCTTTCTTCAGTTTGCTTTCTGCCTTCTTTTAAGAAATCATAGTCATCCTCCTGCACTGGTTGGTCTTGCATGTTGCTTCCTTCAGTAGGTGCTTCTGGTTTAAATCCACGCAATCCACTTCCTTTCCGCCTCCATCGCAAAATTACCTTCTCTAAGATCCCCACAGACCATATTATGTTTTTGTATTTGTTCCTTACCTGGTGTCCTCTCACATGAGCCTTTAAAAAAAAGGAAAAACGAAGAATGGCTAAGAAAATGAAAAAATAAGGTTGAGACGTTGAGTTGACTAATTATTTAGCAAAAAGATGGATTATGCATGTATAAGGCCAAAAGCACATACAATACCTGAATTTTAATAATTCGTTGGCGGATTAGAAGAAAATCTCTTCTTCCCTTCCAACTGCGAAATTTATTTTGTATACGGACAGCAGCAGCATGAGGTTCATCATGCTGTCCAGACCTATTCGTCTTCATGGCGAGAAGTGAGAGAGCACGCTCATCTGATAGTCCAAATTCACTGCCACCGTATTCTTTTAGCTGCTTCCTCTGGAATGACTGCACCCTGAAGACCTGATGAATACGAGCAGCTGCTTGAGTAGCATTACGAACAGCTGCAAGAGAATCCTTCAATGAGACTCCATGTGACCAGTCACCATCCCAAGCTGGTGTAGCAGTCCTTTCAGAAACCGTTTGAACAGCTTCCCCAAAAGCTTGTTCATTCTCACCCTGCTTCTTTTCCTTCAACTCAAGAGAAGAAAGGTGGGAGCTCAAGGAAGACTCTGCTAAGTAACCAGCAATTCCTTTATGTCCATTGCTGGAAGCTAGATCAGCAGGTGTTCTGCCTGAAGGATGTTTAGGAGTAGGATCTGTCAATGCTCCAGCAGCTGCACCTAAGGAGATGAGGAAACCCACTGTCCGCTCTCTGATGTTGCAAATTTCGAAGATACATCAAATGGGCGAAAAGGAAAAGAAAGAAAAATGGAGCTAATCAGTAAACAAGTCATAGTTGATGAAAGCCATTTCATCAACAACCCTATTTATCAAAAATACTTCACAACACAACTAAAATTCCAAGAGCACCCAGTATTCAACTCCTTTCAAGTTTCTAATATGTTTGTGTGAATTAAATTGGAGAAAGACGCCACAAAAAGAGATGAAAAAGAAAAATTAGAAAATGAATCCGAAAAAAGTTGCATGATAAAGACAGACAAAATCTAACATAATACCTTCCATATGATGCTGCCCAATGGAGTGCAGTCCATCCATTCACATCTCGGAAATTGACGCTTACGCCTGCAGCTATAGTAGGTGGTACAGCCCAGTCATAACCAAGAGCAGCTGCAAAATGTAGAACTCCTTGACCACCTTCATCCAGTATGTTAGGGCCTTTCCCACCCTCAGCAACCTTTTGAAGGAGCCAAACACGCAACTTCTCTTTTAGAAGCTTTTGTAGGAGCTGGTCTTTTACTTTCTCTGCCATAAAGTTGTTCTCATTAGTAAGGTGCAACATTTCCTCCCATTCACTGTCATCGTCTCTTAGCAATGAGTTAATTTTACTGGATATATGGGAAACATCATCCTCACTGATAGGTGGAGAAGTTTGGGAAACAAAGGATTCCAGAGATAATAATTTTCCGAATCTCATATGAAGAAGACTTTCACTGGAGCTGCAACTATTTGGATTTGCAACATCAACATCTTGGCCTTCAGTGACCCGAAATTCGAATTCTCTTACCTCACTACACGCCAACCTATTGGAGCATGTTATGTAGAATGGAACTCTTCCAGCCTTTTGAACCGGAGTATGGCAGCGAAGAACACCATCAGCTATTACTTCTGCTGGAACTTCCAACTCACCAAACATGCATGCCCAACTACAGTTCTCCACTTCTTGCTGGGACTTCAAAAACCTTCCAGTGATGAGGACCTGTTAATGAAAAAACCAAAGAGTTATTACCCATACATCAATAAGACATCAAATTAATAAGAGGAAAGTTGTACATCATCAATAAAAAAAGAAGTGAGACATTAAAAAATTTAATCAGAACTCTGGCTCACAAGGTAGAATGTCCAGGAAAGACATAAATGTTCACCTTAATTTCTGACCCAGAAAATGCCCAGTTTGGTGAGAAATCAATAATGCTAAAGATTTGATCCTGCGCGAGTGAAGGACTTAGCACATAGGTGTCTAAATGCACTTGGGAAGCAATTGTGGAATTATCGACTCCATCTTCATCTCCAACATTATCCCAGTAGGAACTAGAATTGGATTGCATATGCGACTCACTTACATCTCCAAGTTCCTTGCTTATCCACCGGTCAAAGCTATCAAGCTTCTTCAAACCTTCTCTTTTCAAGACGCCATCTAACAAAGGTTGTTTTAAAGCTGAATAATCGGTTTTCACCCCTAAGCTTAGATTGTGATCTAAATCAGCATTTAGAGAGCCTCCAATATTTGCATCTGATAGCTGTGATTGAAGCTCATTCTGCATTGGGTGTTTATCTTGCTGCGCAGGAAGTACCTGAGAAGCCTCCAAGGAATTGTGATGTTCTACACCATATACACCACTAGACCCAATGGTTTGACCAGATGCCAAATCTGGATTCAACTTCTGATCCATGGACCACTTCGATATAAATGAGGAATCAACTTCAGAAGTCTGCATCTCAAAGTTGGCAACTTCAGTTAATAAGAAAAAATGTATCAACAGCATTGCACTTAATCTTACATGCAAACAGGTAATAAATGTCCAGTTGATTTTAATATCAGTCATCACTAAGTTATTGTACAGCTGGTTCAGTCGAATATCAATGCTTATACTAAAAACAAATACATCAAACAACTCGGGCATTCTCAAAGCACTTGAGAGAAAAAAAATAAAGTGAAAAAAAAGCTTTCCGACAGCAAGTGCGTAGTTTGCACTTTTGCATGAACAAATCAACATTTTCAAGAACAAGCAGAGCTTAATGAATACTTCCCCCACTAACTTGCACAAAAATTCCTTTTACACTCCTTTTCTTTATGGACAACTTATCAAACACTTTAATTTGTAAGATCCATGTCTAAAACCTCCTTGAACAGCCTATGGGTGATGTTCTGGTGAAGGACTCAAACGTAAAAGAAGCTATGATGATGAAAAGATGGGAGTTTTTGTGAGTTTGGTTAAGCAGAGAGAAGATGGATTGGCATGATTGTCAAGGACTAATAGTGGGGACTTGTAATTCTGGTTATGGGGGAAGAGGAGGGAATTGGGAGTTATGGTAGTGAGCTCTCTTTTGGGAAAAAGGGGTTGTGACATGGGGTGGAGAGGTATGGTGTCATGGGGAAGAAAGGAAGGGGCGTTAACAGAAAAAATTGTAATTCAACGTCTCACTGTCTGTATTTGCTAATTTCATGGCCAAACAAGTATTAACAAATCCTGGGATAGTATTTATGCCAAACAGGCACTTAGACTTCTATATGACTGCTAGAAGGCTTTTTCCCTGAATTCCGTCAAAGAAACAAGGTGCAAAGATAATAAGTGGACAATGCTCCTATTCCTCCTGCCTGCCTTTTCAGTCCTATACTAAGAGCCTGTTTGTTGGCTTTTGACTTTTGGCTTTTGACTTATAAGCCATAAGTTAGAATTTGTAACTTATGGCTTTTGGCTTATTTTTACCATGTTAGGTTAAACTAAGTGCTTATAAGCACTTTTTTTAAATTACTCAAACAGTCCAAAGTGCTTAAAAGTTTTTTTTGGCTTAAAAGCATTTAAAATAAGCCACCAAACAGGCCCTAAGTCATGTATTTAAATTTCCTCAGCATCTGGTGAAATACCACTAACCATGTCTCGAAAAAAAGTATTTATGGATGACAGACTACATATAAATTGAACGGAAAGCTTTGGAATACATGCGCAGGGGCTAATAAACTGAGCCTCTTCTCCTCTCCCTCAAGTATACAACTCTGTGATGTGCATGAAATGGACATTGCAAAATAATGATGCACAAGATGAACTCCTTTAGTGTAACTTACCTGCCAGTTCCCCAGGCCATCAATGTGGTTCTCATGTTCCTGCCTCGTGAAGTTATTTGAGAATATTTGTCCCATTGTAGTGTTTCCTTGTTCATGCATCATATTATTTGCACCTGATTGACCAGAAGGCTGAAAATGGAGAGACTGATATGCAGCGGGATTATTACCTGAAATGGTCCCCCATGATGGGAAGTCAAGGTTCCTACTGGGTATATAGGTATTTGCTGTGTTTCTGTTCCCATTTCCTGGTGGGATTGAGGAGAAACTTGTAGCAGAACTTCCTGCAAACTGTACTTGATCATCTGTTGAATAAACAAACAAGGTTTTCACATGTATCACGTCACGTTGACAGAAGCACTGAACCATTTGGAGAGCATTTTAAAAGAGGCGAAAATGCTAAGTACAACTGATAATACAAGGACAAGAATCAATTACTTGAGAAGGGAATCGGATGATAAGGTACAGCAAGTCCATCTCCAGCACTTGGCTGAGCATCAAGGAATGAGTGAAATCCAGAAGTTGGATGTTGATTGTACACTGGTGAGTTTGTGTTCCCAAACAAAAATTAAAAAATATTTTCACTAAAAATAAAAAGGAAATCTCAATTGATACATTACAAGTCCAAAATGCCTTCCAATGTACCAGAGCAGTTTATTTTAAAATCTAACCCAGAAAAAATTGATTAAAAATATACCTGATTCGGCATCCTCATATTCTGAGGCCTGTGCACTGCTGAGGCTAGTTGTGTCAGTGACTTGTGAGTTCACTTGGTAATCATTTGGATAAAATTTTGTAGACGCGGAACTGTCCACCTCAGAGCTGTGTACATCTTCATCAGTTTCTTGCAAATCAGGAGTAACTTGTTGAGGTTCTCTAATACGGCTAAAATTTGTCCTGTTACCCTACAGAAGGAAAACAACATGGCAATCAAATCTATAAACAAAAATGAGGAAATTTATTTTAATAATGAAATCAGTTTCAAGGATATGAACCAGATTATGTGGAGGGAGAAGCATAGATCACACTTAAGTTCTATAATTTTCAGTTTAAACATTAGCTATTTTAGTTTGTCAGATTGTAGGCTTGATTAGAACTTCTCAAAAGTCCTAATTTAATAATTAGATCTTATTTTTGCATTACTCTTTAGTACATTCATTCTGTAAAAACTTTATTTTTGAAAAAAATTGTAACATGAACTAATAGGTACTCTGCCAAGTATATTTACTACAAAAAAATGAAATCAGTTTCACTTTCTTAAGATAAAATGTTGGATGAATATTCTTGAATAAAGGGAACTTCTGAACACGTTTAAATTACAAGCAGTACACAGCTTTGATGTTAAGATACCATACTAGCATCGTGAACTGAAAGCCTGTTGTCCTCCAACCTACCATACAAATTGCCTGTACATGACTAGGCCTCCTTACAATGCAAATCTGCAATTTTATACCTACTCTTTATTTCATTTTAAATTGTGCCCTTAAATCATATCATGTGAATTTCTTCTATACTATGCTGCCTTGAGAAACTGGGGGAAGGAAACATAACCACTTCTCAGCTGTAAGTTGACTGTTACAAGTTACAACTGACACTAAAGGAAAAACAAAAAGGTCGAAGAAAAGAAGCAATATAGGAAAGAATTAGAGGATGGCAAGCATATACCTTTACTTCCCGGTAGTGGACAAGAACAATATGTGACATTTCCCTGAATAAGTGTTTGGAAAAGTAAACAGAATTAGCATGCTAAGCAATGGTTAGAAATTGGTCTTGAAGAAGGTAATGATGATTAGAAATTAAAGTGAGTGATGCGCCAACCAAAACAAACTTTTACACATGTTGGGTTAACAGAACCAACAGTGAGACACTTATTGTATTGTGAACTCCAAAGAATTCTCAAGGGGGAATACAATTTCATAGGGAGTGAAACATAAATACACAATTAGAAAAAGAACAATGAGGGGAAAAGAAGAAGTATGTGTTGAAGTGTGTGTGTGTGTGCGTGCTCTCCGGGACTTTACCGCACAACAGTAAACTTAATTGCAGATTCATTTGGACAATCTTAACTTTACCTCTTCAAATCTTAACTTAGTCCATGCTATTCAAGATTCAAAACAATATGGTGTCCCTTTAACTTACAGGGGTATTATTATCCAAAGAGGCAATATTGCTATGTTGCTTGGGCTCTTCAAAAATGTCTTGGATACTCCAAAAGTAGTGCATTTTTGGAGAATCTGAACTGGTGTGGCAACATTTTTGGAGAGTTCGAGCAACATGGAATTAGAACAAGCAAAAAAATTCTGATCACCACCCCCTCATTAACAAAAATTATTTTCATGTGTTTGATATAAGAAAAAAACTTGGATTTGTACATGAAGGAGCTTGTGAAAGATCTATAATGTATAAATAAATGTGTCCTTCTCTAACGATTTAAAGTTTTAAATAAGGAGTACATGTTATTCAACAACAATAAGATTATTTGTTTTAGACGCAAAGAGTGCACAAGATACCCTTTAATAGATTAGTCGATCCTGCGTCAACCTTTTAAAGGAATAATGACCCCTCAGCATTATAGAGCATCTAATTATCTTGATCATGAAGAATATCAGAAGCAAAAAGGTAAGCCAAATATCATATAGAAGTAACACTTATCAAGCATGACAACAAATAATTTTACAGTGCCAGAATAGCACTCTTATCATTATGGAGATGAACAAGGTGAACTTGAACCAACCTAACATGCAATTAGCATGTAAATGTCCACTAAAGATGTCTACTTGATCATAATTCTTAAGACACAAATATCAACAGTCTGAATTGACTTTTAGCTCCAATGTTGGAGCAAAACACCTATAATAGCAAATCTGAGTACTCAAAACAACAATATACTCTTTTAACTTACTCTTCGAGCATCCAATAGCTGCGTCTTTGGAAATTCTCATTCTCTTCTCCATGAGCATAGTAGCAGTGTAACACATCAATGCTTCCAGCCTGCAAGAATATTAATTTCTGATCAGCACCCTGATACAAGAACAAAGGTCTCCAAAGAATAAGTGGTATTGTACCACTATTCTGTCCATGGTAACTTATATTTCCTCTATTTTGTAATGCACTAATAAAGCATATTTCTACTAGCTTCAGTATTCCTTTGTTACAGCAGTTGTCGGTACCTGCCGTTCAGAGATGCTATCAAAGTAGCAAAGTTAATCAAGTTCTCTAGCCTAGTTTAGATAAAGCATCCTTATCGCCCCACGTCACCTGGTTAGGACATAAAGCTTATTCTATTTCTAAAATAGTGGATTCTATAACAGCATTCTGCCTTTTTGAAGGCAGCGCACTCGTGGAAACACTGAAATTGAGTACAACAACAATTACACCTCAATCCCAAACCAACATCGAAATCAAGGATATATAAATTTAATAGGCTTCTACACAATCATAAGATTCTCATCAACTTTACCTTGAGCCTCTCATGAGCCTCTTTCACAGTCTTTCCATCTTTTTTCTTTCTCCAACTATGGCCATCTTTGCGGAAATACCGTAAAACCTTCCGATCAAAAAGGAACAATGAACCACCTGAAGGGCCATACAAGCCAATTAAAAAACATAAAATAAATTAAACAGAGCTTGAGTTTCAAGAATAGTTAGATGTCCTTGAAAGCTCTCCTCGCTACATACAAATATAATGAAGAAAAGTAAAGAGTACACAGAACATAATGTTGATTGCACAAGATGACGGTACTTAGACCTATGTGAAACAAAACCAATTATGTATATGTTCTCATAAGGGAGGCAACTAATAATCTGTAAGCCAAGGAGCAGGCCACGAGAGTCATATTGACAGGGAAACTAAAATAAGAAAATATTTCTGAAAAACCTAAGAAATTACTATACATGGAGGTGGAAGGGAGTTGAGTATAGGCCTGATGGAAGAGGAACATGTCTTTTTGTCCCGAGGGTGGTCTCAAGAAAATAAATTAGATAAAACAAGCAGTAAATGATCTAGGCAGAGGGCTAAAGAAGGGGGCAACACAAAGTGAAATACAATTTACAGCACATACAAAGACTATACATTGAAAGTTAGTCAATTGAGCTAAAAAAAGACGACAATGATTATTGTAAGAATACTTTAACAAATAGCCTGAGGAAGGAGGGAAAGAGAACTAGAGGAGCTTTACTGGTCGACAACAAGTAGTGAATTGAGTGATTGAAAGGGAAAAAAGTAACAGCATCATCAGACCAAATTGAAATTAGGATAAGACTAGCAATAAAAACTTTTTCACTATTTTGGGTATATGGTACAGCGCACTCCTCCAAAAGAAAAGAAGAAGTTGACCCACTTTCACAAGCAGAACTGCAGAAGGGTATGTAACGTACAGAAAAGCCGAGCATGTCGCCTCAGGTATGCACACAGACATGCATATGTTACATAAGTGCATTTATCCTGACACATACACATTGGTATAAATAGCATATGCACGACTATCTGCATATAGTAGACTGGAAAATTCACTATCAAGGAAGCACATGTAGAAGCAAGAAAACCCTATTACAACTACAACATCCACATTTAACAACAGGAAAAAGAAAATCAGCTATATGATCATACTTGGAGGCCTGTTTGGAGGCTCTGGAGCAATTCGAAACTTCTGGTAATTTTTAAGAATTTCACAAATTTCAGCTGGGCGTAGCCATCGATGCTGCGCTTCTAAAAGTATCTGCTCAATATCTGCATTCAACAACAAACTTCCTCAACAAACATGCACCAACACCAACCAATCCTCCAGCTACAGTACATACTAAAACTATAGTAAACATGCTGAACTAAAAGCCATGATAGCATCTAATTAGACTAATTCCCTAATCAATTTATGATCTCTTCACTGTTCTGAAACTAACAAAATCAGTGATTTTGGAGATTCAAGTCCAAAGTTTAAGTCTTTTCACTAAAATGCTTCAAAGGGTATGCTTCTTTGATTCCTATTAACCAAAGCCCTAACAGAACTCAAGAAATGAACACCAGTAAAATCGATAGCAATTAAATGTATCCCAATAAAAGAAGTTACCTAATTGAGCATTCAGACCATAACGCCTACTGTCTGCCATGAACCCAGCTCCAAAACCATACAAAAAGAACTAACCCAGCTCCGATCTAAAACACTAGTTGAGCTTCCACTTAAAAATTGAACTGGGGGTTGGTTAAAGAATCAAAAAGTTTTGGATTAATCAAAGAAAACTGGATTTGGTCAAAACAAGTTCAAGATTTTGGCAAGAAAAAGGGGGAAAACGAGGGCAACAGAGAGAGAGAGAGTAAAGTGTATATGGGTTAAAGAGCGGTAGAAAAGGGGAAAGGGGAAAATAGGAAGCTACGAAGAAAGGTCGTTATAGGAAGTGGGAAGGGGGTATTGGTATTGAAGCAAAAAGGAGCCGCCGAAATGGAATACAGTTTGAGTTCAGACACTCATACATACGAAATAATAGTAACGTGTTTTTAAGACAGTCAATAGTTTACTATTAAGAAGCATCAAAATTCACATAAATTATTTTCTTTATATTTAAATTATTAAAAATGTGGATTTTATATCTATAGTGTATGTAACCCTTTCTTTCTTTTTTTGGAAAAATGTTGTTACATCTATGTATGGATATAATATTTCACCTTAATAAAAATTAAATAAATTATTAATATTAGTTAAAGTTAAAGATGAAAATATCACTATCTTAAAAAAAAAAAAAGTTTAAATGTGTTTTAACACTTCAATCTATTTTTTGGAACATAAAAAACTACTATAACGAGAGTCGAGAGGTCTCGGATTGTGAAAATTTCATATATGACATATATTAGACTAATATTTTCAAGTTATAGCAGTAGAATTAAATTTTAAAGTTGTAACAATAAAAAATTTCAGGTTGTAACAGTTTCTTAATAAAAAAAGTTTTTTAAAAATAATTGTAAAAATTTGTTTTGAAGAAAATAAAAAAATTTGTTTCTGGAAAAAAAAAGGTAAAAAAACGGAAATAAAGTGTGTTAATTAAAATTTGAATTGATTGAAGATAATTACTAATTAGCATAAATTAAGGAAATTCAAACTAATTAAGAATATTTAGTTTCCTTATTTCACTCTAATTTGTTAAAATTAATTAAAAATTCTGATTTCATCCATTTTTTTCCACATTTCTCTCTTAGATTTGTTTCCAGAAATCTTGTCACTCTCATCTAATTCATATTCGTTTTTATTCAATAATTTTTATTTTCTGGACGGCTTCTTATTAGTATAAATAAAATATGGTGGTAGATGGGATCCTTCAGGTTATTTGTTCTTTGCGATTTTTTATTTGTATTGTAATACAAACCAAACGTTCAAAAAAATTACGAACAATGATTCTGGAAAAAAAAATATTCAGATTTTGTTTATGAATAATAGTTTTAATTATGGCGTTTTTGGTATGAATATTCACTTTTGAAATTACATAAAATTTGTTTGAAATTG